TAAACATCCCTGGGTTCAATCCCTGATGTACCTCAGTGGCTGAGTTCTTGCTGAGCGTTCATGAGGCCCTGGTTTGGATGCCCAGCACAAAAAAAAAAAAAAAAAAAAAAAAAAAAAGGTCTTATTTATCTATACTTTTATATAAAAGTTTTATACAAAAGTCCCTCATACTTAAAAAAATATCCAAAGATCTAATTGAAAAAAGCAATAGCTAATTTGCAAAATAATTTAACCTATTTCTTTAGGTCTCAGAATTTCTTAATCACTGACATAATAAAACTTCCATCATTGTAATACTTAAATGCAATGAAGCATAGTTAAATCCAGATAATCTCAAAGACATTTTTGTTAAAGAAGATACTCAGTCAGGCACTGTGGCACATGCTGTAATCTAGCTACTAGGGAGGCTGAGACAGAAAGTTTACAAATTCTAGGCCAGCCCTGGGCAATTCAGCGAGACTTTGTCTCAGAATAAAATAAAAAGGGCTGGTGATACAGCTGGTGGTTAGAGGAGTTGCCTAGCATGTTCCTGGGTTCAATTCCCAATACTGAGTATTGTTTTGGTGAAAAGATAGTCATCAAAATAGATTAAAAATTAATCAGGGCATAGGCTGGGGTTGTGGCTCAGCAGTGGAGTGCTTACCTAGCACATGCGAGACGCTGGGTTCGATTTTAAGCACCACATAAAAATAAATAAATAAAAGGTATTGTGTCCAACTAAATAAAATATTTTTGAAAAATTAATCAGGGCTAGGGCTGTAGCTCAGTGGCAGAGCACTTGCCTAGCATGTGTGAGGCACTGGGTTCGATTCTAAGCACCACATAAAAATAAACAAAATAAAGGCATTCTGTGCATCTACAAATATAAAAAAAAATTAATCAGCTGGGCCCAGGGGCACATGCCTGTAATCCCAGCAGTTTGGGAGGCTGAGGCAAGAGAATCACAAGTTCAAAGACAGCCTCAGGAACTTAGGGAGGCTAGCAACTCAGCAAGATCCTGTCTCTAAATAAAATATAAAAAAGGGCTCAGGATGGGGGTCAGTAGTCCCTGAGTTCAACAGCCGGTACCCCGCCAAAAAAACAAACTAGTTTTCTAGTTATCTTCATATCACTGATGTAGACCGATACCGTTTTTTCAAACTATATTTTCATTGCAGAAATGTAATATTTTGAAGAACTTTTAATTTCATATTTAAGCTGAATATCCAAAGTGATCTTTCATTCTCCATTCACTCCAATTTTTGTTTTAAATATCAATCATCATGTTGAATCACTCCCTGGATGATATGGTATAATGGAATGAGCACTACAGTAGATATCAGAAACTTGGCTTCTGCTACTGCCCATTTGCAATAACTTAAGCAAATCACTTCATTCTCAACTTATTCAGTTTATTCAAAAGTAAAACCAGTAAGGCTAATCTAAGATCCTACTTTCTATAATTCTATAAATCATTAGCATTTTGTTTTAATCAAATTTAATGTGATTTTGTGATCACTTAAATAAAAGTAAGAGTGGCACACATGAAAGAATTAAACTGTCTAAAGAACTCCACAGGAACACTGTTTTATAAGGTCTCAGACTTTCAAATGCAAAGGGTGGGGGGAGTAGGTTGTATCAGAAGACTATCCAAGTAATATTTTTGACCACACAAGTTCCTGGGGCAGCAGAAATGGTAGAACAGTATAAACGTTCAAGGAAAAACACTACCACAAAAATATCAAAATAAAAAACAGATGCTCAACACAATATTATTGCTACATTACAGAAACTTTTCATAGTTTTTCAATACTCTCAAGAAGTCCTGATAGAAAACGCTTTCTTAGTGCTGGGCATATAGCTCAGTTGGTAGAGTGCTTGCCTTGCACACACAAGGCCCTGGGTTCAATCTCCAGCACCATCACCAAAAAAAAAGAAAGAAAGAAAAAAAGAAAATGCTTTCTTAATCATCAAAATTACCTTTCATGCTGTGGCACATGTCTGTAATCCCAACTGCTTGGAAGGCTGAGGTAGGATAATCTCGAGTTCAAAGCTAGCCTCAGCAACTTAGTGAAGCCTTAAGCAACTCAGAGAGGCCCTGTCTCTAAATAAAATATTAAAAAGGGCTGGGGATGTGGCTCAGTGGTTAAATGTCCCTGGGTTCAATCCCTGGTAACAAAAACTAAATAAATAGATAGTTTTTCATATCCTCCAACCTGAAAAGGACAAAGTTATCAGACAATCCGAAGACTGAGTTATTTGTGGATATAACTGACCTATTCAACTATGCTTTATGCCTTTATAGCATTTAGTAATCCACCCAAAACATTAAAGGAACATCACATTGATTCTACAAGTGAATGACTGAAAACACATGAGCCTCTTACCTACAAATCTGTACATAATAAATTCAGATCAAACTTTACTACTTGCTTTGTACCATAGTCTAATAAAAATTAAATATGTGAAGTAAAAGAAAAGATGGAGCCTGGCGCTATAACACGTGTCCATAGTCCCAACTACTGGAGAGGCCAAGGCTTAATCCCAGGAATAGAAGGCCACACATTGAAATCCCATCTCAAAATAAATAAGAAAGAACAGATGGAAGTAACTAAAGAGTTTTATCATATCCAGGCACAAATAAGAATTTGAAATTACAACTAAGATAGATCACAAAATATAATTAAAAACTAAGTAACAAAAACATATAAAAAACGAACAAGCCAGAGTGATGGCACATACTAGTAAACCCAGGGACTTGGGAGACTGAGGTTAGAGGACAGCAAGTTCCAGGCCAGCCCTAGACTAATTGTCATAGTTTCATAGTTTTAAACTAAGAGGACAGTCCAAACACTTAAGTTTTACTATATTTTTTAAATCTACAAAAGCATCAAGTTAAAATATATATATATATATTTCTCTAGAGGCCATGGAGAGAATTATAGCTTCCATAGATACGTCACAGCAGATAACAGGTATATTCTGATAAGTAATGTGAATACATTTTTCTAACTAGATTCTTATGTTTATTCATTCAATAAAAAATTGCAGTGTCTGGTGTGAATATACTATGTATACAACCAGAGATATGAAAAATTGTGCTCTTTATGTGTAATAAGAATTGTAATGCATTCCGCTGTCATATATAAATTAAAATTTTTTTTTTTAATTTGCAGTGTCAAAATCTCTCTCTCTCTCTCCCTCCCCCTTACTAGGTGCTTAACCAGAGATAAAATCAGAGAAGGGCCTATCCTGCTCTCAAAAAGAGATAAACCAGAACATAAATACCAACAGTACAAGGTAGAAAGTGTAAGCACTGAGAGAGATAAGCAGATAAAGCAATACAGGATCTCAGAGGGAGTTGTTACTACCTCACAGAAACACAACCTTTTCAATCTGTTTAAAGCAATTTCATAACTGTTAACTCCCTTTAGGCGCATAACAGCCGCCCATAGATAGATAAATGGTTTCCTAATATTAGAGATAAGGAAACTGAAGCACAGAGAAGTTGATATGTTCCAAAACGTCAGTTACAAGAAGAATCAGAAATTAATATTACATTTTCTCCGGGGGAGTAGTTCAATATATGGCATATCTTTTGTAAAAGTTAAGAGTATTTTGGTATTTAACTAATCATTTCCTAGTACGACTATTTTACATGTAAATACATATACATACACACACCTTGATTTTCATTAACCGCTGGGCTTAAGGCAAGACAAGCAACTGGAAACTATAAATATGAAAGTAAACTTCCAGTGGATTTTAATAGAATGAAAAAATTAGATTTCTCTCTAGCAATTTGTGGTTAATTCTTCTGTAATTTTTACCTATGTATAAATAAGATTCTAAAATAGGTCTGATCCTGAGTCCAGGCAAGTGCAAGCTGGTTTATCCAATAAGTTATCTTTATGAAAGTATACATCAAAATATTTCCATGAAACTACTAAAACTTAAATACTGTCATGCCATCAAATTTTCAGTGACCCAGAATCATCGCAGTTATTGATCAGAATATACTGAAGGAAGGAAGGAATATGTATAGGCATTTTAAAATCCCAGACCTGTTGCTCTCTGCACACAGTCACGTTCAGCCAGCCTCCCATCATTGCCTCACGAGGGGGCACACAAGAATTGTAAATTTCAATATAATTAGGACATAATTAAGAAAGCAAACCTGATGCAGGTGAATATACTAATCCCAAAGATTAGAATGCCCCATACCCCTACTCTCCAAGGTTAATTCTGTTGAAGAGGCACCGTAGCAATGAAACTCTTGACATTTCCTAGGCAAATACTTCTCATAAATACCATTTATTCCCATCTATTCCTTTAATCCACGACTACTCCTGGTCTAGGTAATTCGAAGAATTCAATCAGCTCTCCATTAAAGCTGATTTCTCCATTATACTTTTTCCAAATCCTTCATCTGGCACACGAAAACACCAACAATAAACGGCGGAAGGTATAGGGTTCGGATCTTTGCCAGCTCCACCACTACCCACCCTTCGCCATTACAGCCCGAAGTGGTCAGGTTAGAAAGGTGAACTACTCGGCTCCTTCACGTACTCGTCCAACGCTGTCACCCTCCCTAACCCTTCCACACTCCCAAGACGGCCACTAACTCCGCCTAAGAGTGAGCCCAGGCCCGCCACCTGCGCCGGCCCCACCCGGGGAACCCTTGGCCATCGCGTCCCCCCTCCGCCAACCCTGCAGGCTCCGCTCGCCCCTTCCCCACAGGACACGTCGGGGTCGGCCCCGGCCCGGCCGCAGCCCATTCTTCTTCCAAACTCCAGAAGCCTCCACTCGCCTAGCCCGAGCCCTCCGCCGCGCCCGACTCGCCCCTGGGTGGCCAAAGAGAAGGGGCCGGCAGCTGGGACGGGACCCGACCTAGCGGGGCCCGCGACGCCCTTCCCCGGGCCGAAAAGCTGCCCCCACGGCCGGTGCCCTGAGAGTCCTCGGAAGCCCCGGGGCGAGAAGGGGCCCGGAGGCCGGCGCTGCGGGCGCCGGGGCCTACTCACCGGGAGCTGGCAGAGCGTGGGAGCCGGCGCGTCCCCCGGCCTAAGGAGCAGGACGCGGCCCCGGCGCGCGGCCCTACGCCGGGACCTCGCTCGGCGCGGCGAGCCAGACACTCACTCCAGCCGCTGCCGCCGCCGCTGCTGCTGCTTCGCCACCTTGGCCGCCATCTTGACTCAACCCCTCTCCCTCCCCCCCACCAGCCCAGCGGCCGCGGCTAAGGCGGCTCCGGCGCCGGCTCCTCCTCCTTCCGGAGGGCTTAGAGACCGACTCCCTCCGCTGGCGGAGCGCCTTTCTTACTTCGGCGGAGCTTCCTGGGTCGCGCAGCTCCGGACTCCTTCTGGTTTCGCCTCAGTGTGGCGGCAGCGGTCCCCCCCAAACACAAATAGGCCGGGGCAGCGTCGCCCCCAATGGGACCCAGCGCTGCTGCCATGGCGCACCCGGCCTGAGGAGCCTGCCGCGAGCCGGCCCGCTCCGGAGCGCTCGGGGGCTACCTCCCGGCGTGGGAAAGGACAGGGCGCCCGTCTATGCCTCGGGTCCTGCTACCCCCTTCAACGGCACGGCTGGATGGCGACGGCCTCCACTGCCCGGGGCTGCAAAGACAGAATCCGGGTCCACGTGGCACGCCGACTTACCCGATACTTTAGCACCAAGCCCTCACCGAAATGCGAAATGCCGGGCGAGGCCGATTTGCCCATCACATCGCTCTTGAATCTAACTCCGAAGAGGAGTTAGGGCCCTCGAGACTCAGGAAGTGCACACTCCCCCCCACTGACTCTTCTAGTGAAATTACTGGCCAGTTCCCCGTGACCGCATACTTTTCCTTTAGTAAAATCATCATTCACATCCCAAAATTGAAAAGGGAACGCAAAGTTAAGGTATTTTGCCGTTTCGGAAAACATTCATCCGGATAACGGGGCTAAACCATATAATTAGAAAAGCCCCTGGTGCCTGTCATCTCAGTGACTCCCAAGGCTGAGGCAGGAGGATCCCAAGGTCCAGGCCAGCCTGGGTGACTAAGTGAGCCCCTCAACAATTTAGCGAGACCCTTTTCAAAACAACAACAATAACAACAACAACAACAACAATAAAATGTTTAGGGCTAGGGATGTATTTCAGTGGTAAAGTTCCTCTGGGCTCCACCCATACTATCCGCCTCCCATCTCCCCTCCCCGAAAAAGAAATGGGTTAGAAAATGATGAATTAAAAAGAGGCGAGAAGTCTGCTTGCAAAACGTGGGAACTTTCTGTTATGGTGACACATGCCAGTAATTCCAGCGATTTGGGAGGATGAGGCAAAAGGATCATAAATCCAAGGCCGGCCTCAACAATTTAGCAAGACCCTGTTTAAATATAAAAAAATTAAAAGCCTGGCCATGTAACTTAGTAGTAAAGTGCCTCAGGGTTCAGTCCTGGGTCCCCTCCACCCACCAACCCCCCCCCCAAAAAAATAACCCACAAGATGTGGAAGTTTATTTTCAAATGCTTTTCCTTAAACACATTATATTGTGAGGCAGGACAAGGGTATTAAATTGGACGGCATGGGGTTCGGGTCAGCTCTGAAACCTAGCAGGCACCAGACTTCGTGTACAAAAGATGGAGAGAAGGTTGGGGATTTAGTTCAGCGGCAGTGCGCTTGCCCTGAGTTTGGTCCTCGGCCCTGAAAGAAAAATAAAGATGGAGAGAGCACAGTATGCTGAGAAGCTTCAGTGTCAGAAGACAAATCCTACTTTTGAGTCGCAAGCAAAGATGCACTCAAACGCGGAACGGAATTTCAGTGGGTGCGGTTTTCCTGCCGGAGTCAGGGTCAACTGCAGCCTTCCCAATTGCACAGGCGCAGTGCCACTTACCCAGCATGGAAGCGTTGTGTCTCGGCTGTGTGTTGGCGGCGGTTCTAACGTGGGGTTTTCTCTGCTTTTGGGACTCTGCAGAACGAATGAAGACTGCGGAGCAAGCAGGCCTGTTGAAATCCGGAAGCCGAACCCTTCTTGTGATCGCGCACCCCGATGATGAAGCCATGTTCTTTGCTCCCACAGTGCTAGGTTTGGCACGCCTGAAGCACCGGATGTCCCTGCTCTGCTTCTCTGCAGGTAGGAGGCCTTAAGTGATCGCTGGGAGCCTGGGCTGTGAAGGATTTGGGTACTAGTCAACCTCAATATACTCCTTCCCGAAGGGTTTTCAATTGTAGGGAGCTAAATGAATACACCGAAGGTCTTTCCTTTGAACTCCTTCCAGGCTGACAGGGAGCAGCTGGCCTCCCAGGTGAGTTTGGGGGATGTCTGCAGCTTGCATACTCCACTCTCCGCTGGCAGGATTGAGGAGAGGAAAGGGAGTTTCTCACCATTGGTTCCACTCAGTGCCAGAATTTTCATTGGGAACTGGGACTGTATTAGTTATTTTGGAACCTTTCATTTGCAGAAGGGTCAAGAACAGTGATATTACTATGTAGTACAGCAAAAACAATTTATTCTGTATGGTGCCTGTTCAATCCTTAAAATTTCGCTTCTAATAATAGCAAAGGACCTTCTGCATGTTGAATCCGTATTGTGCTACAAAGTTGCGTGTGTCAAACTGGAGGAGGGACTCAGATAAATAGTAATTTTGTAGATAATTTTAGAGGTCATCTCCACCCAACTTTCCGTGAAAGAGCCATTCAACGAATAGGGCTAGTATTCTGATTCAGAAAACATCAAATGAGAAAAAAAAAAAAGTGACCGTGGTGCTTAATCATGACCATAATTGCACAGCTGTGTAAATGAAGTAATCGAGCTGTATACAATGTGTGGATTTTATAGTATGTCAAATTATATCTCAATAAATCAACAAATCAGTTGTTTTTAGTTGCTCATAACCTCTTTTCCTATTTGGTTGTGTTATTTCAATCCTTTCTATACAAATTTCACAGAAATCACATTTAATACAATTGTATTCTTTTCACTTAACATTTATTTTTCACTTACCTAGCATATGTTAAACATTTATGGTACCCACTTGAATCTAATGTATGAAATATGATATGTCAAGAGCTTTGTAATGTTTTGAACAACCAATAAAAAAAAATACAGGAAAAAAAAAACCATTTATGGTAGGCCTATTCTATCTGTCTCATCCACCTCCATGTCTAAAATTGACTGTTTTAAGGCTTTGCATATAATTTGAATTCCCTAAGGCATACCAGTTTTACATTCTGAGTGGTAGTAATGAAGGGTATCTCTCTTACTATATTACCCTCTCTAGCACTGACCAGTATTTTTTTTTTTTTTAATTTTTAATATTTATTTTTCAGTTTTCGGCGGACACAACATCTTTGTTTGTATGTGGTGCTGAGGATCGAACCCGGGCCGCACGCATGCCAGGCGAGTGCGCTACCGCTTGAGCCACATCCTCAGCCCCCTGACCAGTATTTTTTATAAATTTCTTAGTTTTTTCCCCCAAAATTTATCGTTTGTTATCAATAAGATTAAATCATCTTTATTATTTGTTGAGAATTTGGATCTAAGCACTTTTTTCTCTCTTAATGTGAAAGATATTATTTACAAATAGTTGCAAGTAACAGCCTGATTTTTTTTCTTTGCTTTCAATCTTATTTATATTTCATACTACAACTATGGGAGTCAAATATAGGCAAGTTTTTGTTTCAAGATCTACAAGAGAAGCCTGGATTTTATTTGCAAAATATTGTAGATGCAGTGTGATCTTTAATAAAGTTCTTATTTTTATAAAAAGGCTCATAAAAATTTAGTACCAGAAACCCAAATTTTTCCTGCCTCATTTTCTGTCGTTTGTTTTTGTTTTGCTGCTGGGGTTCAAACCCAGAGCCTCAAACATGTTGGGCAAACACTCTACCACTGAGCTGAACCCCCAGCCTCCCAGGCTTTTGTTTGTTGTTGTTGTTTGTTCTAATTAGTTATATATGGCAGTAGAATGCATTTTGACACATAGTACACAAATGGAGCATAACTTCTCATTCCTCTGGCTGTAAGTGGTGCTGAATCCCACCAGGAGTGTAATCATACATGTATATAGGGTAATAATGTCCATCTCATTTTACCATTTTTCCCATCCCCACTGCCCCATCCCTCCCATCACTCCCCTCTGCACAATCCAAAGTGCATTCATTCTTCCCTATCTGCCCCCCCTTACTGTGGATCAGCATCTGCTTATAGGAGAAAAGTTTCAGCTTTTGGTTTTAGGGGATTGGCTTATTTCACTTAGCATTATATTCTCTAGTTCCATCCATTTACTAGCAAATGCCGTAATTTCATTCTTCTTTAAGGCTGAGTAATATTCCACTGTGTATTTATGTCACATTTTATTTATCCATTCATCTGTTGAAGGGCATCTAGGTTGGTTCCACAGTTTAGCTATTGTGAATTGAGCTGCTATAAACATTGATGTGGCTGTGTCACTGTATATGCTGATTTGAAGTCCTTTAGATATAAACTGAGGAGTTGGGTAGCTGGGTCAAATGGTGGTTCCATTCCAAGTTTTCTGAGGAATCTCCATACTTTTTTCCAAAGTGGTTGTATCAATTTGCACTCCCACCAGCAATGAATGAGTGTATCTTTTTTCCTTCATCCTCGCCAATACTTATTGTTTGTATTCTTGATTATGTGCCATTCTGGCTAGAGTGAGATGAACTCTTAGAGTAGTTTTGATTTGCCTTTCTCTAATTCCAGCCTCCCAGGTTTCCCCCACCCCCTAATAAAAATTGTAATCCCAGCTATTTGGGACACTGAGGCAGGAGGATCTCAAATCCCAGCCCAATCTGGACAACTTAGAGAGACCCTGCCTCAAAATAAAAAAATACAAAGGGCTGAGAATGTAGCTCAGGGTAGAACACTTTCCTAGCCTATGCAAAGTCCTGGCTTCAATCCATAAAAGAGAGAAGAGAAAAAAATTTTGAGCATATACTTAGCAGCCAGCATTTTTTTAATTTATTTTTTATTTATTTTTTTAATTTATAGATGGATACGATGCCTTTATTTTTTATGTAGTGCTGAGGATCAAACCCAGTGCCTCACATGTACTAGGCAAGTCTTTCATTATTTCCTCTGAATCTAAATTATGATTTTAAATTGTTCTATCTTGGATTTAGTTGAGCACAGTGGTGCGCACACTGAGCTACAACCCAACCCCAGCAGTCAGCATTTTTGTTGTTGTCTTTCATTATTTCCTGTGGAATCTAAATTATCATTTTAAATTGTTCTATCTTGGATTTTTAAAATTATATTTTAAATCCCAACTCATTCAAAAACATGTATGGAACATTTTTCACACTCCTGACTTAACATTCTGATGTACAAAACAGGACACTGATAATTTATGACACAGTATAATGAAAGCTATGATGATGTAATGGAGAAAGTACTATGGGTACAAAATATAAAAATGCATTAATTCTCTTTGAGGAGACTAGATTAAGGAAAGCTTCTCCAAATAGGTTTTCTTTTGAGCTAGTCTTTCAAAATAATAGTAGGTTACCTATGACGCAGAGTAGGTCATTCTAGACAGTAGTAAAGACATCAGTAAGTCCTGAACTTGTATAAATAATTCATTCTAACTAGATCCCCAGGTTAGGGAGAAGGGAGAAGCAGGGGAAAAGATAATTTTTTTTTTGTTACTAATGCCTCTTTTAATCCTGTCAGTAATCCTATGAAGAAGATAATACTATTATTCCCATTTTACAATTGTAGCAACTAAATCACAGAGTTTAAGTAACAACCAGAGTAGCTACAACAGAGACCCAGGTCTCTGTAGCTTTTGTTGTTGTTGTTGTTCTAAACCATTATACCCAATCTGCCTCTTGTATTGCTTTGCATGTCATGTCAGTTATAAAATATCTGTATTGATTCCCAGTGTACATTTTTTAAGCTTTATTTTGTTTATTTTGATGTGGTGCTGAGAATTTCTGCTATTTAAAAAAAAAATACTTTGGCCTGACAATTTAAGGGAACTTAGCCAGATGTGCTATCCCCCATTTAGAAGTTTGCATCCTTTTGAGAATATAGACATCATTGAGAAGTCTTACTATTAAAATAAAAAAAGATCTAGTTGGGCACAGTGGTGCACACCTGTAATCCCAGCGGCTTGGGCAACTCATGCAGGAAGACCACAGGTTCAAAGTCAGCCTCAGCAACTTGGCAAGGCCCTGAGAAACGTAGTAAGATCCTGTCTCAAAGTAAAATATAAAAAGGATTGGGGATGTGGCTCCAGTGGTTAAGTGCCCCTGAGTTCAATCCCTGGTACAAAAAAAAAAAAATTAATTTTGTTTAATCCAGCATTTCCCAAATTTATGTAACCACCAAAATGCCTGCTAATATGCACATCCAATAATAGGACATCACTGATAAGTTTTGATGCGGAATTAATATAATCAATTCTCTGTTTTAAAAAGCTTATTCCAGGGCTGGGGCTGTAGCTCAGTGGTAGAGCGCTTGCTTTGCACATGTGAGATACTGGGTTCGATCCTCAGCACCACATAAAAATAAAGATATTGTGTCATCTACAATTTAAAAATATTAAAAGAAAAAAAAACTTATTCTAGCTGGGCACAGTAGTGCACACCTGTAATCTCAGCGGCTGGGGAGGCTGAGGCAAGAATGATTTTGATTTCACAACTGGCCTCAGAAATTTAGCGAGGCTCTAAGCAACTCAATGGGACCCTGTCTCTAAATAAAATACAAGAAAGGTCTGGGGATGTGGCTCGGTGGTTAAGTAACCCCAGTACCAAAAAAAAAAAAAGCTTTTTCTAGGGCCTGTGGTTTTAACTCAGTTATAGAGCACTTGCCTACCGAGCACTATGTTCGATCCTCAGCACCACATAAAAAAAATAAAAATAAAAATAAAGGGTATTGTGTCTATCTACAACTAAAAAATAAATAAATAAACAAGCTTATTCTAGTCTGGCACGGTAGTGGAGCAGGCTGTAATCCCAGCAGCTGGGGAGGCTGAAGAGGAGGATGAAGAGTTCAAAGATAGCCTCAGTAATTTGGCAAGGAGGCCCTAAGCAACTTACTGAGACCCTGTCTCAAAAAATAGAAAGGGCTGGGGATGTGACTCAGTGATCAAGGTGCCCCTGGGTTCAATC